CCACCAGCAAGAAGGCCCTTACCAGATGTCACCACTTGACCTTGAACTTTGTCTCCATAACTATAAGAAAAATTCGTTTTCATTACAAACTTTCAAGTATGTTGTTAGAAGCAACAGAAACAAACTAAGACAGATGAGGAGACACCTGACCTGAGGCTTGAAGGATGACAGTTTGTCATTTAGGTCATGCCAGAGAAGGTAGGGAATGATGCTCTGTAGAAAGAGGAAATAGGAGTCCAAAAGCACCCTAAGAGGAGGAGGAGGCGCCATTCAGGTACGATGAATTGGTCTGCATGGCTAGAGAGTGAAGTATTGTGTAGAGGGGGAAGATTTTCTGCCTCTGAGGGTGTGATAATTGAGTCTACGAAAAATGGACAGTGGGCAGATTAACAGGAAAAAAAAAACATATTTAATTATGTACATATGCACAGGAGTCCCACAAAATCTGAGACTGGAGGAACAGCCAGATGATTGAAGCTCATGTAGTATCCCTGAGCTATGAAAGGAAGCGGGGCTTGGTGCTTCTGGGAGTGGTGGTGATACACGTCATGGGAGGGTGGGGCGAGGGAATGAGTGCAAGCAAAGGTTGTCTCATGATGCAGATAAACAGTCTCTCGGGTAATAAAAGTTGTTTCAGAGTATCCTATCAGAAGAATCTGTAACAGCCTGTGCCGAAGTCCATCTGGGCAAGGTGTCAACCTTCAGTCTCATCTTCCGATAAGATCTTCCCTGGTTGATGAGAGTCCTATAAAAATCATTTTCCTCTACAGAAGTAAATTACTTTTACCAAAGGAAAGCTTTTCAGAGCTACTCCTGTGTCTGCAGTGTCTCAGAATAACCCGCTCAAAATATGCCAAAGAAGTATATCCCAGAGTGGCATATTTTGGCCTCCTACAGTCATATTTTGAGGTGTTGTGTTCTGAGCTGCCACAGTATGTATAACAGCAGCATGGAAGGAGTTTGGGGTAGAGTACAGAACCCTGATAGGCCATGCTGAGGAATATCCACTTTATTCTGTGTAGACACTTTACTCATAAATATAGGTTTTATTCATAGACATGTGTTTCAAGGGAACTAAAATGGAGGGGCAGCAAAGTCTTGCGAGTATTTTGGAAAGATCATTTCAGAAATGGGATGGGGGCAGAGTAGAAGAAAGTGAGTACAGATGCAGAGAGTCCCTTTAGGAGAAAATAGAAGACGGAGGCTCCAACTAAAGAGGTGGCAATGGAATCACAGGGAGGAAACCGATTCTCAGAATATTTATTTAAGGTATTAAGATATTTACTTATTCAAGAGAATCAACAAAGCATGTCCATGGAGGAGGAGGAAGAAGAGTTCAGCTCAGGGAGTGTTGACTCCCAAATGTCAAGGAAACAAGAAGGGAAGCCCAGTAGGTAACTAGACACTGGGATCTGAAGCCCAGGAGAGAGGTCTGGGATGGAGGGAATCATGTGTGTGTCAGTCAAAGCTGAAGCTGGGATCTCCCAGGAGAAATATGTCAAGTGAGAATAGAAGATGCTGGACATCTGGGGAACAGTACCTAAGGGCAGATGGAAAAAAGAGACCCTGACAAGACGGTAACGAAAAAGCAGAGAGGCCGAAGGAACACTTGGGGAGATGAGTGTCCTGGAAACCAGGGAAGCAGAGTTCACAAAAAGAGTGAGTGATGGAGAGTATTAAAAGCAACAGAAGGCATCAGATTAAGTAAGACCTGAGAGGTTCCCAGCATATTTGACAACGAGCTGCTCAGACGTGATCTTTGCCAAAGCAGCTCCATGCAGTAGGGCAAGCAGAAGTCATACTCCAGATGGTAGAGGGATGAATGGGGAAGGGGGACTGTAAGAACATGGCAATAGCTTCTAGAGTGTATGCTACTCTCTCTAGAAGATTGACTGTCATGGGAAAATGAATGGAGTAATATAGGGCTGAGAGGTTCCTTGATGATATGGAGAGCCTAGCACAGTGCCTGACCCAACAAAGACACTCAAAGATGTAATTATCTAATAAAAGTTGAAATGATGAATTGCTAAATAACTGAAAAATGAGTCAGAGAACACTTCTTGTATTCAAAAGCATTTAATTCCTCTTTTATGTATCTTGACAAGAGAGGACACAGAAATTAACCAGAGAAGGAAAAAGCACGTGGTCTGGAAGAATGTGTGAGCTTTCATGTTGTAAGCAATGGGGAGAGGAAATTGGGGTGAGACCCAGGCATAGGCAACTGGCATGTGTGCCCCAGAGAGAAGGGAGCTTGCAAGGGAGGAGCTCCCTGCTGGGGAAGTGGACTGATGGAATACAGACAGCACCACCAGGTAATAGAAAGCAAATGGAGCTGAGAAATGCCATTGTAATCTAATGCTGGTTATTTGGGGTAACTGTAAAATCCATCTCAGTACGCTTTCAATCTTATCGATGACCTACTGTCTAAAGTAATGCATAGCTAATTCTCTGAGGCAGAGATATCTTTTTTCCTGTCAGAAACTACACAAGATATAAAGAAAGTAAGGCAACATTTGGAGCAGTATACATTTAAACGGACCGTTAGTAGAAAATACTTAGAGCAAGACCAGACAACGTTGGCTGACTTTGTGAAAAGAGACCTGTATTTGGACAGATTTATTAATTTTGTTATTTTATTTTATTTTGAGATAGCCTCTTGCTCTGTTGCCCAGGCTAGTGTGCCGTGGCATGACCATAGCTTACTGTAACCTTGAACTCCTGGGTTCAAGCGATCCTCCTTCCTCAGCCTCCCGAGTAGCTGGGACTAGAGGCTTGCCCCACCAGCTGGACTAAATTTTTTTTATTTTTTATTTTTACAGAGATGGGGACTTGCTACACTGCCCAGGCTGGTCTTGAACTCTTTGCCTCAAGGGATCTTCCCACCTCAGCCTCCCAAAATACTGAGATTACAGGTGTGAGGCACCGTGGCTGGCCTGTATTTGGACAGTTTCGCAGCACCGTGCTTGGCCTGTATTTGGACAGTTTTTGCAGCAAAGATGGAATAATCATATCTTCCCTACAGAGTTCCTATGAGAATTATAGGGGAAAGCCCTTTTAAATAATCAAGGGCGAGCTCTGTGTGTGTGTGTGTATCATGACCTAGTTGCTACTAAGGGCTTTGTGCATATGAGTGTGCTTGTCTAGCACGCACTCCTGGTTTTTGTTCGTCTTTTCTCTTACCTTCTTGATCAGGTTTGTTCTCTTATTAAATGATATAATATGCTCAAAATGCCTGACATAGCATGTAGAATAGGGGTGTGCATGTTAACAGGAGTAATTGCTAGCGCCATTCCTTCTTTTCCCCCATATCTCCACCTCTTCCCATTGGCTATCTATGGTCTGTGGGTGAACCCAGGGATATTCCTCCTTTGCTACGAACTTTCAGAGGACTGGTGACTCCTGAGCCTGACTTACAGTCTTTTAATTCTGGGCAAGTCACAACTTGGGGGCCTAATTGTAAAACTGAGAAAGCCTAGGTTTTGAAATCACCAGCTGAATCAGCATAATCTCCACTGTACATTTTGCAAAATCCTACAAGGTGTAGCATTAACTAAGATATTTCTAATCAATGCAGCTGTCTTTCCGTTAGAAAGCATTGACTCAGACATCAAATCCATGATATTTATTTGGTTCTCAGAAGACTGGCCTTTTAAACATGACCTTTGAGTATTTACTTATGAAGGAGTTCAGAAAATGCTGCCCCGGAATATACTGCTTTGGCAGGCTGGTTACTTTAAACTGAGGGTGCTTGGGGAAGAGCAACTGCAAGAAGGAGCTTTCTCTGAACGTCCTTTTATCTGCCTAAAGACAGATCCTCCAGCCTGTAATCCCAGCACTTTGGGAGGCTGAGGCAGGTGGATCACCTGAGGTCAGGAGTTCGAGACCAGTCTGGGCAACAAGGTGAAACCCCGACTCTACTAAAAAAAAATATATATATATATATGCATATACACACACACCCACACCCACACACACACACACACACACACACATGAAAATTAGCTGGGTGTGGTAGCAGCCACCTGTAATCCCAGCTACTTGGGAGGCTGAGGCAGGAGAACAGCTTGAATTCCGGGAGGCAGAGGTTGCAGTGAGCAGAGATTGCACTCCAGTCTGGGAGACAAGAGCAAAACTCCATCATTCCTCTAAAAGGAGCTCATCTGTCAGGAATGGGAAAATCTGGGATCAAGGCAGGCCCAGACAGACTATCACTTGTTCTTCTGCTAGAAAACAACTCCTTATTACCTGATCAGCTTTTTAAAATCTGCACAAGAGACTTTTATTCTTTATATACTTCTCCCCACACTCTCCCATAACTTCACCTGTGCCCACCCCAAGCTCCAAAATCCTGTTCTTTTCTGTAACTCGGGATGCTATACAAGCTTCAATCATCTGACCCTTTGAGCCCCATATTTTGTGAAACTCCCGTGTGAATGCTGGTAATTAAAATGGGTTTTCTTTGTCCTGTTAATCTGCCTTATGGCAATTTAATTCATAGATCAGCCAAAGAACCTAGAAGGGTGGAGGGAAGCTATTTTTTGCTCCCTACACCTAGTAGACGGATACCCAGGGATGTGGGCAACAGTGAGAGGTAGAGGTGGGCTTTGAGGGCAAGGGGTGTGGGTGGGGTTGGGGAAGGGCATTAGGCTTCATTTTACAAGGGACTCCAGAAACTGCCCCTAACCCACCCGGCAAGTGCAATGCCTTTTCACGCCGGAGTTTCCTATCTGTTAACCAGGTATGATCATTCTTGCTCCATCACAGGGGGGCTCACGTCTGTGTACATGGCACCCCCACCCACCACAATGGAAATGATATTGTTAGCTCTGACCTTGCATCCGAGCTCCTGAAGCCCAAACTCGGCTTTTCTGCGGCTGGATTGCTGGGTGAACAGGGCTCCGTGGAGGGGACACCCTGCTGCCATCCTGCCTGGAGCCATTGACCGGGGCTTGGGGGCGGAGCAGCCGGGCAGGTTCGCGGGCACCGAGGGCGGCCCAGCTCCGAGCGCCCGCTGGAGCGAGAGCCGGCTGTAGGCGGCTCCTTCCTGTGCAAACTTTTCTGTCCTCTTCCTCCTCCCGCCCTCTGTACCGGCTCCTCGGCGCCCGGCGTCCACCTCCCCGCCCTTCTCGCTGCCTCGGGGTTGCGGCGCGCGGGGCAGAGCCCGGCAGCAGCGGGCAGCGCAGCCCTCGGCGCCGGCCCCACCCGGTGCTCCGGCCCCGCCGCCGGGAGTCGATGGCCGAGGCTGGCTCGCGTCCCACGGGGTCCCCGGACGATCCGGCAAGGCCGGCGGCGGCGGTCGCAGTCCCCGAGCCCGAGGCGCCAGCACCGCCGCCGGCGCTTGCCCTGCGCTGGCTGCCCGGGGACCCGAGCCCCCGCGGCCGCTCGCAGAGCGACCTCTCCTCGTCCTCGAGCAGGGGCCGCCCGCTCCGGGTCCACATCTCCGGCTCAGGTAAGGGCGGCTCGGGGCGCTGGCCGGGGAGGGCCGGCCGCGGGCAGGTGGCCGCGAGGGTGACGCGGCCAGCCAGGGGCGCCCGCGGGCACTGGCCAGGCAGGCTGGCGGCGGGGTGGGGTGAGAGACAGGGGTGGGCGGAGGCTGAACTCCCCACACTGCCGCTTCCTTCTCGGCTGCCGGGGCTCGGCGACCCTCGGCGGAAGATGCTAAAAGCAGGCGACCGCTTGGTGCGCTCGGGTGGGCGCGCGCCGTGCGGGGCGAGTGTGCAGCCTGGGTTGGGTGGGGAGCGCTCCCGCTCGGCTCCGCGGCGCCAGGCAGCACCGCAGCTCAGCTTCCGACGCTTTTCCAGCAGAAAGAGGAACCTTCTAGGTTTTCGGCGCGACTTTTGTCCCTTGGAAGGGTGCGGCTCCCTCACTTCGTGGGCTGGGGCCAGTGCAGGTCTTGGGAGGCCTCCCAACTGCTCATAGTTCTGAAAGACTCCTTTTGGGGTTGTTGGAAAGAGGACCCGGGATATGAGTTTTACCTCCTTGCAAAAACCCATGCAGTTGACGGGGAGAGCAGGGGAGAGTTTGGCGGGCTGTTTGTGCATCTCATCCTTTAGATGTTTGAAAAAGCCTCTGCCAGGCGCGATGGCTCACGCCTGTAATCCCAGCGCTTTGGGAGGCCGAAGGCCGGCGGATCACTCGAGGTCAGAAGCTTGAGACTAGCCTGGCCAACATAATGAAACTTCGTCTCTACTAAAAATTTAAAAAATGAGCTGCTGTGGTGGTGCATGCCTGTAGTCCCAGCTACCCAGGAGGTTGAGGCAGGAGAATCGCTTGAACCCGGGAGACGGAGGTTGCAGTGAACCAAGATCACACCACTGTACTCCAGCCTGGGCGACAGAGTGAGACTCTGTCTCACCAAAAAAAAAAAAAAAAAAAAAAAAGTCTCAAGCCCCCTTTGCACTAGCACCAGCCCATTGCGTCCTCAGAGGCTGCCCTGTGCCCAGTGTACCGGTACCGACAGAATCAGGAACTCAGCAGAGGCCGATGCTGTCAGCCGTTTTGTGTGACATTGGGCAAATCACTTAACCTTGTCTCTCCTATCACAGTATTGAGAGAGGTAATGATAGTATGGTACTACCGCATCGGGAGTTTATGCGGATTAAATCATCATTTTTAAGCTGCTTTTGAACAAGGCATTAGCCTAAGAACTGTAGGACTGTTTTTAGAAAGTTCACCAGATGTGTCAAGTTTCCACCAGTTTTGTGATGTGCAATCTATGTAGGATGCATGGGAGCTGGGAATCTAGAAACAAAGCTAGCATAACTACCTATAGCAGCAAAAGCCCCTGCCGGAGTGAATGTGCGCAGTACCGCCTACCACTGCCAAGGTTTTCAGTCTCTGTGCTCTGGGATCAGGACTTCTCTGGGCTCTAACTCAACCTCACCTAAAACTTCCTGTTCAAAAAAGCACATTTCCATGCCTCTAACTCCGCTTCAGCTGGCCGACTCTCTTTCTCACCATAACCTTCTGTCTTCTTATTCTGATCATATTGTTTTTGCCACCCAACATGTGTACTTGAAACACCTCAAAAGCATTGCAGATCGCATTGGATGAAACGAGTCAGAACTCTTAAAATGCAGGTAGTGGGATACTGATCACAGGATTTACCTAAAGAGCCTTCTTCTGAATTTGCATTGTGGAAAGCGTTGAGTCCCAACATGTTTTTACCACCTGCTCTCGGTGTCTTGGCCAAACTGAACTCGAGCCATGGATTATTTTGATTGATTTTTACAAAGATTAACTGTTCAGAGACTCTAAAGAGACCACTGAGAGTTCATCCAGTTGGTGATTGTAGATAAAACATAGCTTATATCACCATTTTTCATTTTCATAGATGGAAATCATGGCCTGTGTGTTGAAAAAGGATAGGAAAGACATTTAAAATCTGAGTGTGCCGAGTGTACATCCTGTGAACCGTGGGCTCCAATTTATGAAATTATTTTTCTTCCAAGGACTCTTCATCTTTTCTGTGTCCTCTTAACGGATGCTAGGAAGTGACACCTTTCAGCGCAGTTGTCTCCTGTGTCACAGGATGCTGACACACGTGTAGAAGAGTGAACTTTCATGTGACTGATTTCATTTTCAGAACTGAGCCTTGGATCCCTTTAAGAGCAGACTAAATGTGATCAGGAGCTCCCTGCTTTTAGAGTCAGAGAGAAAAAGAATGAGCAGGTCTTTCACTGACACGCAGCGTGTTTTCCCCCGACTACCCCACAGCCTCGGCAGCCTCAGTAGGCCATGCAGGATGGATCCGAGAATCAGCAAGATGACCGTGCTGGGATCTCTGAATTATCTTAGAGGCACAATAAGAAGGTTACATACCTGGTAAAAACATTCCCTTGTCCTGACACTATAGTAGCCCCATTTCCAGCCTTTCCCCAGAAGCTCTGGGCACACGCAGAGGCAGCACTGAGAGCAAGGTCATATGTGGCTTTGCCAAAACAGCCAGCATCTGTGGCCTCATTGCAGAATCTCAGGCCCCAGCCCAGACCTGCTTAATCTGAATCTGCATTTTAATAAGATCCCCAGGTTCTTAGATACCTTCCAGTTTGAGAAGTGCTACCCTCCCACGTGGGCTTTCAGACTTGGCTACACATAGGAATTGCTTGGGGAGATAACAGCAAAACAACCTGTGGCTGGTTCCACACCTAGGGATTCTGATTAATTGGCATCAGGTGCAGCCCGGGCATTGGATGATGCTAATGAGTAGCAAAGTTTGAGACCGCTGTCCTGTAGCTTGCTGCCGTATGTGTGGTGATACCGTGGTACAAGCATAAGGTTAAAGAATGTTTTTTAGTATCTTCTCACATCCCTATTGCTACAACCCCTCTTCTACTGCTGCAGCCTCCCAAGCAGCCTTCTTCACTCCTATTTTTGATTCCAGCTAGTTGTCAAATGTTCTTCCTAAGGGATAATTTCTAATCATGAATTAACTCCCTGCTATAAGTCCTTAGAATAGTGTTGAGAGGAAAAGGAAATCACCTTTTGCAGTAACAGTGGCCTGAAAGGGAGAAGAGGAAGGGGAAGAAACAGTGCTTGCCAAGAACGGCCAGAGAACAGCTCCCTCCAGAACCACCTACCATCCTTGCTACCTGCAACCATTACCCCAACCCCCTACCTGCAACCATTACCCCAACACAGCTCCCCCTCCATCCTCTTTCCAGGAAAGAATAATAAAAACCTGGAACTCAGCCTCTAAAAACTTGCTCACTGCTGTGATCAGTCAGTATAATACTAAATGTATATGTGTGTATATATATATATATATTTTTTTTTTTCTTATTTTGAGACAGAGTCTTGCTCTGTTGCCCAGGCTCGAGTGCAGTGATGTGATCTTGGGTTACTACAACCTTCACCTCCTGGGTTCAAGCAATTCTCCTGCCTCAGCCTCCCGAGTAGCTGGGACTGCAGGCGTGTGCCAGCACACCCAATTACTTTTTTGTATTTTTAGTAGAGCCAGGGTTTCACCATGTTAGCCAGGATGGTCTCCATCTCCTGGCCTTGTGATCCTTCTGCCTTGGCCTCCCAAAGTGCTGGGATTACAGGCGTGAGCCACCATGCCTGCCTAAATATATATTTTTAAAGACCTGTTCTGTGCTAGCACTGTTGATAGATACTGTGAAGATACCTCAAGAGAATTGGCTTCCCCTGACTATACTAGATTATTACTAGATTTTCATCAAGAAAAGTGTCTCAGACTTCAAGGGATTCTATTTAACTTGTGGCTTAAGGAATTTTTAACATAAGAATGCATGTGCTTTATCAAAAAAAAAAAAAAAAAACCAAGCCAGGTTTATATTTCAAAATCTACACAAAAAAGTTAAAAAACAATTTCAAATAAGTAATTATTAAAGCTAAAATTGAAATAACAGTGGAATTAATGAATAAACTCTTTTATCGAATTTATAAAAATGCAGATTGATTTTGCCATATGGTTTTTGAACTCACACTTCCAGAATTCAACAAAAGTCCTGAACTTATTTTTCTTTTTTTGAGATGGAGTCTTGCTGTGTTGCCCAAACTGTAGTGCAATAGCTATTCACCGGCACAACCACAGTGCATTGCGGCCTCAAATTCTGAGGTTCAAGGGATCCTCCTGCCTCAGCCTCCTGATTAGCTGATGTTATAGGAACGTGCCGCTGCTCCCAGCCTTGGATTTTTAAAATTCAGTATTTCTTTGTAAATAAAGTGATGTCAAACTCAATTTTTAGAGTAAAATCTTGAAACAGGTTTCCCATAGTATATGGTCAGGTATTCCCTTAAGTTTTAGACCAATCCTGTTCGGTATTAGGAACTTTGATAACTTTAGTTGTTTCTGATGTGCTCTTCTGATAAGCCCAGTGTTTAGTAAGTAAATAACCTGAAGACACACAGCGCAGGGCACAGACCATGTAAGGATTCGGCAGGTACTCGCTGTCGGCCTACTGGGTTCCAGGTGCTGTTCTGGACCTGTGTGGGCTGTAGGGAGGACCAAAAGATGTTGATTATTCTCATGTGATGACGCATAGTCTTGCACATTGCACATTGGGCTGCCTAGATCCGAGAACCATCTGAGCCACCTCCAAAAAAAAAAAAGGAGTATAGGTGCATGGACCACATCATTAGCTTAGTGTGCAAGTACCGTCTCATCTTTTTATTACTCTGATTCATCTCTTCAGTATCCCTATGCCCTGATATATACAGGTATAGAGGCAACAGCAAATCCAGGATCTCTTTCTGGTGTCTTTAATTCCTGGTGTGTTCAGTGCTAAGTGGAAGTGAGAAGTCTAGCATACCTTGATTATACTCACTGCTATCAGTTCATACTCACTGCTGCCTGGCCACTGCCACCAGATGCTGCTGCCCAAGATCAGTTCTGCTGTGGAGGGTCAGTCACCTGTGCCTTTGGGGGAAGCTCGTGCTTGTTCATCCCTTGCTGGGCCTTCTACTGTGTTTCTTACTGGCCTCCAA